CTGGTAGACCTGCGATTGGAATCACCGAATCTTAGAATGCTTGCTTCCAAATGAAAGCTTCCAACTTCTATGAATGTCCATCTGCCCAATATTACCCAGGACATCCCATGATTCCATCAGTACAGGGCAAGCACAAGCAATCTATATTATTCTCTTTTTTCATTTGCTTGTTTGAGATATGAATCTTACTGTGAAGCCCAGGCTGGCATCAAATTGGTGATCTTCCTGCCACAGTTTCTCTAGTGCTAACATTATAGGCATGCAAATGTAACTATTTCTAACTCCCAAAACCTACTCTTCTTCCTACATATCCTACCACCTAGTAGGGTTTAATGTTTTGTGGGGGTTTTTTTAATGATTTATTTTTTTTTATGTGTATGAGTGTTTTTGCCTGTATGTATGTCTATTGCCACATGCCACATGTCTGGTGCACACAGGGGTCCACAGAGGACATCAGATCCCCTGGGACTGTAGTTACAGACAGTTGTGAGCTACCATATGGGTGCTGGGAATTGAACTCAGTCCTCTTCAGGAGCATCAAGTGCTCCTAACTGCTGAGCCATTTCTCCAGCACCAAACCAAAGGCCTATAAGAATGAAAACCAGGAAGGCTGAGGAGAAGGCTCTGTTGACCAAGTGCTTACCGCACAAGCATGAGGGTCTGACTTTGGATCCTCAGCATCCATGCAAAAATCTAGCGCAGCAACATGTGCCGATAACCCCAGCGCTGGGGAGGCAGAGACGGGGCAAACCCTGGGGCTTGCTGGTCAGCAAGTCCAGCATTAATGATGAGTGAGTGCTTTGGATGCATTGGGTCTGGTGGCACACACCTTTAATCCTGACACTCAGGAGTTCTCCATGAGTTCTCAGCCAGCCTGATCTACATGCTGAGTTCCAGGACAGCCAGAGCTATGTAAAGTGAGCTCTGGTTAAGCAAGAGACTTGTCTTAAAAAGTAAGGTGAGGGGCAGCTGGGGAAGACAGTTGATGTTGAGCTCTGGCCTATAAGCATACCTGTTCACACACAGGCCACACACAGAGACACAGGCACCCGCACATAAACAAAGAACAGGGATTGTGTTTTGACTCTGGACCTACAAACTGGCCTTCCGTATGCTCACAAGTATCCACTGAATAACTGACTAGGTGATTCTGACCATGCTAGAGAGCTTAGGTGTTAAGTAAATTCATGGAATGAAGCTCCTACTTATAAGATCATGATAATCCTGCGACAAACACAGAGAAAACAGTTGAAGCAGCAGGAAAACCAGACTTCAAAGGACAGAGACCCTGGGAATGCCAGCAGAGTCTCTTCGTCTTAGATTCCACCAGCCTCATTCTGAAGTTACATTCCTTCATTATATAGTGTGGTCCTTTTAGTCACCTAGATTAAATCCTTGGGATGATTCGTGACATCCCCACTTTCTTTTCCACTTCTTGAATCTATAAAAAAAATGTTTTCTTTCCCTATTTCATCCATCCATCTTCCTACAGTTTAATTTGCTCCATTAGGATCAAAGCCCCTTGCTTCTCACCAAAGCCACACTACTGATTCCTAACTGGCCTCCCTGTTCTGACATTCCTCTTTCAGGTCCATCCATTCACCACAAACTACAGTGATTCATGTATCCCAGGCTGCCCAGAACGCTTCCACTTTCAGCACTCGTGTCTAATCGTGGGAAATTCCTCAGTTCTAGATTAATGGAGAAAACTAGTCACATACTGCAATGAACTTAAAATCTTCCCCCAAACAATGCTGACAGCAAAAACAACAAACCCTTAATTAACATGTATCACTAAAATAAACCCTTAAATTGGGCGCTAGTTAGCTTCCATAGAATGCATAAAAATGCATATTAGCCAGGTGTGGTAACACACCTGTAATCCTAGAAGCTGAGTGCCTGAGAAAGGATGATTGTCATGAGTTTGAGGCTAGCCTGGTCTACATAGTGAGATCATTCCTCAGAAAAGAGAGATAGAAATAAAGAAATGAAGAAAAGGAAGGGAGAGGAGAAGAGAGGAGAGAGGAGGGGAGGGGAGGGGAGGAGAGGGGAGGGAAGGGGAGGGGAGTGTACTGTGCTAAGAAGGTAAATGTGCATCAGGCCTTGTGAGAGTCCTTCAGCAGGTCATTCAGTATAACTAGAAACTTCAGTCTCTTCATCTGTAAATGAAGAAGCTAAAGCTAAGCTTCCCTTTCAGCTCCCGAATTCTCTACCTCTACTCTTCTGTCACTCTCTACTTCCCCAGGCATAGGCACCCATGTTAATTCCAGCCACGTGGGGAGTTCTCAACTATGCCGCTTCGCTTCGGTCTTTGCTTTCTCTCCTTCTCTTCCTAAGTGTTCCAAAGAACAACATAAATCTTGCTTACAAAACAGGAGTTGAAGGAATGCCAAGGCCAGCCCAGAAGAATTCCATCCAGATTTTCTAATTATTGAACACTTCGCATGTCCTACGCTGGTCTTTCAAAGTCTTTTTGATGTGAAGCTTCTTTAGTCCAATTAGACTAAAATCTTTCTGACCTTTTATGATTCCTTTTAAAAAATCCTAAAGACAGAGTAAATAAGAGCAAGTGCCATCACAAGCAATTGACTTGGAGACTAATTATATAATCAATTGATGTAACTAATTATATAATCATATAATCAATTATTTAATATGATTATGTATTCCATATGTAATTATATACAACTGGCACTTGTGAGACAAAGCAGAAAGGCAGGTGAATCTCGAACTCTTTGTTCCTTACACAAGATTCATTCTCCAATGTGTCCACAATTCAACAATTCACTTAATCCTTGAAGATTTATTAAGGATCTCTATGACAAGACACTGTGCTGATGTGTCACAGGTGTTACTGAGATGGGCGATAAGTGGAGGCTCAGGTCACAAACAATATCTCTATCTCACAGACATCATAAGCTTCCAGCTTGTCCCCTAACTCTAACTTTTTTGTAAGGCTTAAAGACTCGAGTGTCATGCTGGTGGTGCACACCTTTAATCCCACCCAGAATTTAGGAGGCAGAGGCAGGTGGATCTCTGAGTTCTAGTCCAGCCTGGTCTACAGAGTGAGTTCCAGGACAGTGATGGCTACACAGAGAAACCCTGTCTCTAAAAAAGCAAAAAGGAAAACAACAATAAAACTCTCAAATGTCAACTCTACCTTCATCACCTGCCACCCATTATGTCCTTAAAATTGATCGTACAACTACTTCTCCTACTAGCCTGCAGAAAAGAATGGCCATTAAAAATAGTAAGATATACGAGTATCTACTTGTACAAGCAAAATATAAGTTTAAGATTTATATTTTCCAAGAAGTATATCCTGACCAAATGTATAGACTCGCTAATCTCTACTTGAGTGGGATTTTTTAATAGAACATATAAACATCTTTCTTTGGTATGACTGAACTGTTATCTACCCCCATCAGCCTTGGTATGGAACAATTTCTAAGGATCGATTCAGCCAGAACCTCTGTCTTTTCAACCCTGCAGTGTGTAGCACCTACACTCCCTTAATTAAGTGGGGCTGAGACTTGAAAAGTGTCACCTACTACAATGACAAACAGGTTCATGAGCAAATGGGGGAAGTAAATAAACCAAACGGTTTGCAGAGGGAGAGGTCGAGCAGGGTTGAACTGGGCTGAGCTGGGTTGAGCCCAGAATGATTCAGACACCCACCACAGAATGGGTGTCTCCTGGGATGACTTAGTAGGATAATTAAAAACCTTATAAATAGGATGGATTTTCAGGTCTCTAACATCCTCCCTGGCTCCTGAATCTTCAGCTCACTCTTCCTCCAACAGGTAAGACATGCATGCTGGAGCAACAGCAGTATCTACAAGTGTGGCCGTATATACTCCTTATAGTAGAAAGCTAGGAGGTGGAGGGCAGAGACTGTTTCCTGTCGGTGATACTCTTGGGCACCTTTCTGCTTCCTTTTCAGAGCTCTATCTTAGAATAGAGTGCTAGAGCAGCCTACCTCTAACTATGTGGGCCCTACCTATCCCCAAATGGAGCTTCTGAATGACCGGTTGACAGCTGCCTGTTCTGGAGTGAAGCGCTTACCTTTTGTACAAGTTAGGCAAGGCCTGGACCCTGGGGACTCAGCAACACCCAATTTCACTATCATCAACAGTCACAAAAGCCGCGGCTTGTCCCGTGCAATCAATTATTTGTCCCTCACATGTACAGGCATTACTGTCTGCCCATGTTTTGTCATTTGGGGAGCATTTTCAGAAGCCTGTGAGCATAGTTTTTTGTACCACCAGAAGGACTATTGGCATGCAGATTGCAGAAGACCCCAGCTCCCCAGCATGGCCAGTGCTGACCTGACTGTGCAGTATCTGTCATGTGTGCAGCGTGTCCACTTGCTGCTTTTCTCTGTAACTTTTTTTTTCCCTTTACTGATTCTGTTTAATAAGCTGGTAAAAGAGTTTTCAAGAACTTAACCTCTCAGAAAGGCTTCTTGGACCACTGAAAGAGATATTTTACCTCCTTTCTTGCTCAAAGAAGACTCCTTAGAAGATAGATACCTCTTCAATGGCATGCATTTACTGATCTCTGCAGTCACTGCTGGAAAACTGCACACTTCTGTACTTCCCTCTGGCCCATCCTCTTTGGGCTAACCTTCCTTCATTTTTTGCTCTCACATGAGAGTCTCAGTCAAGCAACTCCCACCCAAAGTAGAGAGGAAGGCCTGTGAAATGTCTACTACATAGGTCTAATTTTTTAAGAATTTGCCTTTTCCTAGCAAAGAAAAACTGCTTTGAATCACTGCCATGATAATATTTGACATTTGGAGCCTGAGTGTTAGTCACATGACTAGCCTAAAATTATGGTTAAGAAGGGACTCTGTGGTTTCTTAAACCTCTTTCCCAAACCCAAGCAACCACTCTCTGGAAATACCGACTCCAGGTCTTCATCCCACACATAAACAAAATCTTCTTTCTTTCTTTCTTTTCTTCTTCTTCTTTTTTAAAGATTCACCTGTATTTGCCAGAATGCCTCAACTTCTTAACAGCATACTCAATGTGAGTAAGGCATTCCAGAAATATGCTGAACACCATGGGGCATGCACTTCACTGAGCAAGATGGAGTTGAAGCAGCTGCTTCTCACTGAGTTTGGAGACATCCTTCGGGTAAGACACCCAGGATCTTGATCCTGTGGCATGGAATGCATGATTCTGGTGTCTGCATTCAAGATATCTTGTTAGTATTTTGCTTTGTTTGGTTATTTCCCACCAGTAATGTACTGATAAGCTCCTTCTAGTTCAGACAGTTCCTCAGTAGTTCTTATACACACACACACACACAGACACACACACACACACACCTCCTTCTTTGTACATGAACAAAACACAGAACAACTTCAAACTAATGGGGAATAGCTTTTTAAAATTCTGTCATTCATATTTTCTATATGTAATCCTGTGCACACACCTTCTCAGGTATTTATTCATTAATTTACTAAAAATTCATTGAGTGCCTATTCCATACTGGCATGGTGCGAGTTATGGAGGATACAAACATGAAGAAAACTAACTTCTTTTCCTTTGATAATGTCACAGTGTAGTGAGAAAGAGGTATATAAACATGTAGGCTATACCATATAGAAAGATATAATAACCTTCTCAAATGATTCAAATCCATTGTTAATATAGTTGCCTGTTCCCTGTGGTCATACCCCATTGGTTCATCAAAAGATGAGGTTCAGAAAACAAGCTGATCAAAAACTAGAACCAGAACCAAGCCACTTCACATTAATAGTTTCACAAAAAGAAAGGAAGAAAGAAAGAAAGAAAGAAAGAAAGAAAGAAAGAAAGAAAGAAAGAAAGAAAGAGAGAAAGAGAAAAAGAAAAAAAAGAAACCCTGTTTGGGAGCTGATTGAGGCATTAAGACTGATAAACAATCCAGCATCCATAAAAGGACATTTGGTTTTTTTTTTTTTCCTTTTTTTCTTCTCACAGAGACCAAATGACCCAGAGACTGTGGAAACCATTCTGGAACACTTGGACCGAGACAGAAATGGATATGTTGATTTTCATGAATACCTCTTGTTGGTGTTCGAATTGGCCCAAGCCTGCCATCATAAGCTAGATAGTAAGTTGTATGGAAGCAGAACCTCCCCCCGGAAAGAACAGGATCAGAAAGGAACACAGAGCCATAAGTTTTCAGAAAACACAGGCAGACAACATAGGCAGAATTCTCACAACAGTCAGTCTGAGGGACAAAGTCAGGATGTCCAACATGATCAGTCTCAGAAACAAGATAAGGACTCTCACTGCAGTCACTCTGAGAGACATGATACAGACTCTCACCATGGTCAGACAGAGAGACAAGATAGGGATTCCCACCATGGTCAGTCAGAGAGATTCCATGGGGACTCCCACTATGGTCATTCTGAGAGAGAAGACACAGATTATAGCTCTGATCAGTCTGAGACAGATGATCAATACTCTAGCTCTGGTCAAAGATTGAGTTATAAATCTAACAATGACCAGGCCAAAAGTCAAGGATATGTCTTTGCCTTAAATCAGTCCAAGAACCCAGCTCAAGTTTCTCATTATGGCCAGTCTAAAACATTTGGACAACAAAGCAGCCATGGCCAGTCTGGAAGACTCCGACAAGATTCTTATTCTAGTCAAACCAGTCAACAAGAATCTGGTTCTTATGAACAATATGGAAAGCAGCATCAGAAATCAGGCTACAGTCAGACAGACAGACAGGCCCAGAATTCTCACAATAGCCAGCCAGACAAACAAAGACATAGTTTCCAACATGATCAGACAGATGGACAAAGCCACAGTTTCCATTATGGACAGATGGATAAGCAAGGCCAGAAGGGTTTCCAACGTGGTCAAATAGATGGACAAGGCCAGAGTTCTCATGACCAGAAAAACAGCAAAGGCCAGAGTTTTCATTATGGTCAGAAAGGTAAACAAGGCCAGAGTTCTTACCAGGGTCAATCAGACAACGAAGACCAGAGTTCAAGCTGGCATCGGACAGACAGACAAGGCCAGAGTTTTCATTTTGATCAGACAGGCAGTCAAGGTCAGAGTTCTTACCAGGGTCAATCAGACAACGAAGACCAGAGTTCAAGCTGGCATCGGACAGACAGACAAGGCCAGAGTTTTCATTATGATCAGACAGGCAGTCAAGGCCAGAGTTCTTACCAGGGTCAGAAAGGTGAACAAGGACTGACTTCTCACTGGGGTCAGAAAGGTGGACAAGGACAGACTTCTCACCAGGGTCAGAAAGGTGGACAAGG